TTCGTGCAAAGGAACAGCTGCAGTCCACAGTGCTGCAGGTGTTGCACTTTTGGGGTGACTGTATTTTTCAGAACGCAAAGACCTTTTTGCCATTTGCTACATTCAGTTTACATCCTAGTCTTAACTAGGGCCACAGGCACTTCTGCTTAGAGAGATCAAGAAATAAAGAGAACAGCAGAGCAGAACTGTTGTCTGCTTTTAGCCACTTAGAAAGAAGCATTACAACTCTTCTCATGGTGGCAATTAAGATGTGGTATGTATATGGTAGAAAGAAGACAGGCTACATTGAAAGCTTATGGGCCGAACCTTGCTTATGCTCCCATGGGTGTAATCCAGAGTAATTCCATTAAGAGATCAATTTGGCCTTTTTAACAAAGCAGCATCACTGCTGCTTTTGGGACATGCTGAACAACTTGTGAATGCACTCGCTTCTTGGGCAAAGAACTTCAAATATCACAGGCAATGTTGTGCTTGTAGCCCACTAACTTCATTTTAAGATTAAAGTCTCTAATTTTCTGACAAATGTTTCATAGTGCCTATCACAGCATTGCTCTGTGGCTGCAGAACTAAAGTGGTACTTCAGACAATGCTGGTGGGGAAAGCTATTTCTCTGAAGACTTCTGCACTGCAATTCAACTCACTTGTGGTATTTTTGTCTTTCCTCAGCTCTGTTAAAGAATCTTAATACTACCTTTGAGGAGATGGAAGTTGTCAGCAGAGCAGGACTGGGAATGTTGAAGTTTGTGGAAGCAGTGATGAGTTACTGTGATGTGGCTAAAGAAGTCAGGCCAAAGAGAGAGAAGGTAGAGTGTGTGGGTTTGAACTAAGAGGAGATGAAGCATGACTGACGAGCAAAATAACACCTGACAATTTCATTCATTGCTCCATTTCTTTTCTTCGAAGTGCTTAAAAAGAGGAGTTTACTAAAACCAGTGAGGTCAGGGGTGAGCAGGTACAAGGTTAACTGCTTGTTTGTCTCCTGGGGCTGTTAGAGGGGCTCCCATTTGGGCCAGGGTGTGAAGCAGGAGGCAGAGATCTGTTCAGGTGGAGTTTTGCAATCTCACATGATCAGAGCTCAGCTTGCATGTGTCTGCTTAAAGCAAACTAGCAAAATGCATGGCATTTGAGCAGAGGAGAGCTCAGTACTGCCCAGCATCCATAAGGCCCTGTCTTACATACAGGTCTTTTATTAATAACCTTTTTTATAAAGACTAGGAACTTAGCTCTAATAGCCATGGAGATCTCACATCTAGCAGGTCATGGGAAACTCTCTATCAAGGAAAGATTCTTATATATATGTGACTACTAGGAAACTATGTTAAATGACAAGTCTAACAATTTTGAAAGGTCTTAATATCACTATTGCAGATGGACTAAGCTCCCATGTTATCATGGGATGACAATCCTGCTTATCTCTGATGTCAACTGGACTGCCCATTTATTTAATAGACCTGGTTGGTACAAACCCCTAGTTTAGGAGGTTTGTCTGCTTTGGAACTACTGGTTCTGACATATTGAATATATTTGGAATGGGGCAAGTTGGGTAAGAAACAGTGGTGGTTATTTTGGCTGACACTGCTTATTACCAAGGTGCCTTAAAATACATGAAATAGCCAAAAGAAATCTAAGAATTTAAGATTCATCTCCAAAACCTTTTCTTCCCTGATTCTCTTAATGATTTCTTCATTATGTAGGTGGCTAGACTAGAACGGAACTATTTCTTAAGTAAACGGGAACTGGAAAAGATACAGGCAGAACTGGCTAAAATTCAGGATGAGTTGAAAGCTTTGGGTAGGAAATATGAAGAAGCAATAGCAGAAAAGCAACAGTTACAAGAAGAAGCAGAGATTATGCAGAGAAGATTAAATGCTGCTGACAAGCTCATCTCTGGCTTGGGATCTGAAAATGAGAGGTAAGTCTAGATCCAGAGAGAAAGTTTTTGGACCTTAGGAGTTGGATCCTATGTCAGAGTTAAAGTCTACCAAACTGACACACTTTTGGAAACATCTCTTCCTGTGACATTTGTTCCTGCAAAGCAGCTAATATCCATTAGTGCTTGGAAAAAAGATGATTTTTAATGCAGAAGGAAAAAGTGAACTAAGATTAAAACAAAGAAGGTTCAGATGAATGCTGTCATAATGATGACAGCAACTAAGTAAGTTTGAAGTTCTATCTTAACATGGAGCTAAAGTGGAAGCAGTTGGAAATTCTGCTTATAACCCACTCTTCTCTGGTACAGACAGATCCAAGATTCCTGTATTTTTCTCTCAGGTGGACAAAAGATTTAGAGGAATTCAAAATACGAAAAGTGAAGTTGCTTGGAGACTGTCTGCTCTGTGCTGCCTTTCTGAGCTACGAAGGAGCATTCAACTGGGAGTTCCGTAATGAAATGGTCTATCAAGTGTGGCAAGAAGATATCCTTTCACGAGAGATTCCACTCAGTCAACCTTTTAGATTAGAAAGCCTCCTGACTAATGAGGTTGAAGTTAGCAGGTATGTCCAGTCAAGAAGTCCAGTGACTACTGTATGTGGAACTGTGAAGTGGGAGTTCGGATCTAGATTTATAGGATAGAGT